GCGGGTAATTTCTGTTTGATGTTAATTTTTATCTTATGTTGTTTATTAAGTAACGATGTGGACGGTAGAACGTGTGACAGACAGTTAGGCTACACGAGTTCGATTTGGGAATAAAGTGCGAGTTGCCAATCGCCTCCGTGTGTCTGTCTGGCCTCTGCATGCAATAACTTGAGTTGTGAGCTATGCCTAATCTTCCTGAAGCAACGCGTTACAAACTGTACTTCAGTTTCATTGCGGGGACACCACCTCCGACCACCTGCCATCATGTCTATCGGCTCGCTTTCGGGTTAAACTTTCCGCGACTGCGCAACTGGGTTATAGGTTGCCAGGTTGAGGTGACAAACGGGTTGAAATTGTAAATGGTCTGTGGTCTGTGGATTGTGTGAATATAATGCATTTAATCCAATCTGGCAACTGGTCAACATTAGACAAACATATCGGTCCGATTATTCATAAAGGAGTTTGGGCCATGCAAATTACGGGAGTTTCCCGAGAGAAATAACAAACCGGGAGGGGTCCGGGAGATAGGGCTAAAAAACGGGAGAAACCCGGGAAAAACGGGAGTGTTGACAGGTATGAACCCAAGTTGCTTCAGTCCAGTATGTGTTCATCTTGATATATAACTAACAATATAAAAGCTTTATGATACGAAAACATTCGCATTTAAAGCTACGAAAGCTGCAAAATGAACTTAATGCCAAACTGTGACATGAATGACAATATTCAAACTCACATGTAGTTCCAACATGAACCCCAATTATCAAACCCTGCTGAATAATTGCAAAATTAGCTTTTTTATAGAAATGAATATGGCACACAACATTAAGCATGATACAAAGAATCAGAAGACAGCAGAAATATGATTCTATAACAATCAGTTCAAAGGTCAAGAGTGGATTTATCATTAAAATATAACTGTTCACCAGTAGGAGGTGCTGTTCTCAATCTCCCTCAGGAATTGTTTCCTTGCTGTAAATGAAACATTGCAAAAGTGATTTGAACAAACCACTTTAGCGTGCTCAACAACTCGTCTCTGACATGAATGATACCTTAAATTACGCTTTTCTAAATGATCAGACTTGTTCAGACAGTCATCAAACACTTAGCACCAATCTAGAAACAACACTGACCATCTTAGCAATAGTTTAGAAGTGCTTCATTTCATTAACTCAACCTTTGTTGAAAGGAAGCACATGTTCAGGGCTGGAGGAGAAACACACAGACTTCAATATTAACATCATCAGCTCTTCCACAACACATGCACACAATGAATTAGCATCAAGGAATCAAATTTTAATGCAATGACGAGCATCACAAACCACAGTCTGTGAGAGTCGGACTCGTTTGCAGTTCTAATAAGGTCATGAGTGAGGATGAGGGAAGTTTCTACTCAGCAGTAAAAGTGTAACTTCAGCAGAATTACTGCAGCTCTGCTCTTCAGACGCTCATGGCCAGAGGATCCGAGCAGCAGCAAATGATTCAAGCTTTGCTTTAAAGGGTTAGTTCACCCCAAAATGAAAATGATGTCATTAATGACTCACCCTCATGTTGTTCCAAGCCCGTAAGACCTCCGTTCATCTTCGGAACACAGTTTAAGATATTTTAGATTTAGTCCAAGAGCTTTCTGTCCCTCCATTGGAAATGTATGTACGGTATACTGTCCTTGTCCAGAAAGGAAATAAAGACATCATCAAAGTAGTCCATGTGACATCAATGGGTTAGTTAGAATGTTTTGAAGCATCGAAAATACATTTTGGTCCAAAAATAACAAAAACTAGGACTTTATTCAGCATTGTATTGTCTTCCGGTTCTGTTGTGGATCCGCGTTCAGTGCCGCTGCTGACGTAAGACGCTGCTGACGTGTGTCTGGTGCGCCCGAGCTTCGTTTACAGTCTGAGGGAGACGCACGCTGGAAACAAAACAATCTTCGCAAACATGTCTAAGGATTTCCACACAGAGGAAGACTTGCATTTTTTTGCCCAGCCATATTTATTTGAACCCGAATACACGGACGCACCAGACACACGTCAGCAGCGTCTTACGTCAGCAGCGTCACTGCGGACTCGTGAACGCGGATTGACAGCGAGATCCCGAAGTGTGTATAATGCAGGCCAGCTAGTAAGAGCTGTGTGAGTAAACCTCACTCCACTGGCCTCAAGAGGTCCGCTAGAGGCTGCAGTCTTTAGTGTCCTTGATAGTGTGCCAGCCTCACACGACACGCATGAATTACCAGTGCCAGATCTAAACAGGTGGAGCTGGGGAAGCTGGAGGGTTTCTGAACAGCTTCAGCAAATGCTAACCAAGTATTTGAAGGTTGAGCAGCTCATTGGTTGGTGATCCAGCAGGAACCAATCAGCTAGAATAATGTGATTGCAAGCAGATTGAGTTAAGGACCAATCAGCCTGCGCCATCTAGAGTTTCATGACAGAACTGTGTTTGACAAAATGTGGTAACACTTTATTTTAAGGTACCATATTTACATGTTACTACATGTACTTACTATAGCAATAACAGTAAATTATGCATAATTACAAGTAACTACCAAACCCTAACCCCTAACTCTGTAAGTACATGTATGAATTCATATTACTCAGTACTTATTTGAGTTAGTACAATGTAACTACGTCATCTTAAAATAAAGTGTAACCCAAAATTTTCAACAATTATGATTAATTAATTAGTTCATTTTATAGAAATTTTTTAGCTCTCTCAAATAAATTTTTGAAAGAAGTGTCAGGCAAAATTCACACAGCATTTCCATTTAATTCCATTCCATTTAATGAAAAGAGCTAAAAAGTATCATAAAATGATCTTAATGGTAGTCCATATGCCTTGTGTGCTGTATTCCAGTTCTTTGGAGGTTTAATGTCACCGGCTGCATGTAATATGTGGAAGCAAAAATGAGATTCATGAACTACTACTACCTCACACAGCTTTCATATGAACCCCATATTGAATAATTTTTTGTTGTCTTCATTAAGTGTGTGTGTGTGTGTGTGTGTGTGGTAGAGGGAGATCTACAGCTGTTGTTGCTGGTGTGGGATGTGTGCTGCACTTTGATGACAGACTTAGTGCAAAGAGAGAGACAGTGAGATGACTAATGAGAAAGTGTGTTTGGGATTCTACTAAACGCAAAGGGAGAGAGAGAGAGAGAACAGAATTACTTTTCAGGGTTGGGCAAATTCATTAGTTTGAATTTGAACTGAATTGACTGCAACACACAGGAAATTGAACTGGAATGACAGGAAGAGGAAATGACTGAGGTCATCGCAGTCCGAGTTGCATTAATCCGACACACACACACATACATACATAAACAATTACATAAAAAAGTTAAGATTAAATATGCTTATTTATTGTCTGATATATATATATATATATATATATATATATATATATATATATATATATATATAAACTGATTAAACATATTTATGTAAACTAAATTCAGTAGTCAAACAATTAACCACCATCAGATTTTGTCTATAGCATCACATTGTTTTCAAACTGTATGCTATTTGCCTTCATTTGAGAGGTAGGGTGGGGGGGGACATTGCATTGCACATTGCATTGTCCATCCAATAAAGTTAATTTGTATAATCCATGATTATATATTATTTCATTGTATTTAATAAATATTAAAGTAATACATTAAAATTAAATATATTGAGTGCGTGTGTGTATATATATATGTGTTTTGGTACACACACACACACTCATTCTTGTACATCTTTGTGAGGACATTCATTGACAATGCAATCTCTAGCTCCTTACCTTATCTTTTCATTACCCTAATCCATCACAACTCTTACCCTAAACCTAATTATAACCTGATCCATAAAAAAACAACAAGAATTGACCCTCAAACAGGACTTTAAGGGGTCTCAGAAAGTGAGTACCGGCACACATGCACACACACTATAAATAGAATTAAAATTCGGCATCCCATTTGCTGTCATTCAGTCCTGTTAAGACGAAGAGAAAAGACAAAAAGCGCATATACATGCAGCACATAAATATGCACACACACTCTTCACATGACCCTGTGTGCCATAAGGTTGTTCTGCGTTCAGAAATATGCCTGCTGCATGTTAAGAGCCCTTGAGTGGGGCCCCTGAGGCCCCGGAGTGTCTCCTGCTGTGCTGATGCATTTCTGCACACTCGGCTCTATCAACCCTGCCTTTCTTCTTATGTCCCTTTTCTTCTCCACTGCTTTTGTGCCCGTTTCTCAGATCCGAAGAGTTAAAATGGTAACACTTTACAATAAGGTTCATTAGTTAACTACATTAGTTAGCATGAACTAATGAACAGCACTTATTAATCTTTGTAAATGTTAATTTCAATACTTTATTAAAATCTTGTTAACATTAGTTAATGCGCTGTGAACTAACATGAACAGCTTTATTTTTATTAACTAACGTCAACGAAGATGAACAAATACAGTAACAAATGTATTGCTCATGGTTAGTTCATGTTAGTTAATACATTAACTAATAGACCTTATTGTAAAGTGTTACCGTTAAAATCTTTCAGAAAATCAACAAACGTGGGTGTCGGTGAGGTTTTACAGGTGTTCATCAAGCACACAAACAGGCAAAACATGTTCTGCAATGGCACAGAACCAGGACGAATCTGTTTCCACTCTTTACCTATACGCCGAAAATTATGTGATTATATTCATAATGCAATGGTGTTGGAACTGAGAAGCGAGGAAAGGAAACAAGGCCACGACTGCCTCCAAATATTACTGCTAAATTACTGTCGGTTAAACAACCAACAGTAAAATTCAGTAATGCAGGTTCTTAAATCTGCTAATTGCTTAATTAACGGTCACCTGCAAGCAAAGCGGATCTACATACATATATATATATATATATATATGAGTGAGCCATGTTATAAGGATTTGAAGTCACAGTACAAATAGAAACTCATGAACACTGCAACTTCCTGATTCAAACAAACGTCTCAGATGAGGAACAAAAGGGAGGCAACAAATGGACTGATAGTATAAAAGCGGTTTTATTCAAGTCGTGTGTCCTGTAGCCTGTTCTGATTCAAAGCATGCAGGGGGACGTGTATGTGGTCTCAAACGCATCACCTGAAAGAGGATCAGAAAATGAGCTGGATCATGTTCGACAGAGAATATAGCAGAGCAAAGCAAGATTAGGATGATGAAAGTGTACTTGTCTGATAGTAGTCATAAACGTTGATGACTGCCGGCTTGAGGTTTTCCACTGCAAGAACCTGTTTCAGCTGCAGAGTGTAACTCATGGGGACGCCTTTGGGAACCTGCGAGACAGAAAGAATGAACAGCAGCACATACACATCAGCTAGTGAATATTCCCAGTGTACACAGTCTCACCTCTTTCAGATACACTAGGACACGATCATCTCCAGAATCAACCCGCTCCACTAACGGGGCGAACGAGTGGGGTGGAGAACCAAGCTGAAGGGAAGAGACCATCGTTTACAAACACAATTACATCTGAAGGAGCTTCAAGCATCTTGAGAGATTTTCAAAGTCATCTTAATCTGCGTGCGTACCGGTGACGCATCTGCTGTGAAGCCCGACAAGAGCTTAATGTCCACTAGAACCATGTTAGTGCTTGCTTTTACGCCGTTGTATCTGAATGAGGGTGATGGAGAAATGGAGGTTTAATCAACAGGATCAAGAAAGCAACTTCCTTTTCAGAACCATGAGCCGGTTTCAAGACACAAAGTCAAGTCACCTTTATTTATATAGCGCTTTTTACAATACAGATTATTTCAAAGCAGTTAAAATGTTAAACAGCCAAAGCTATTCTTACTTCACCGTGAAGTTCAACATGAGATTGGCTCCTAGCGGTTTGCAGTCTCCAGTCACCTTCGCCTCAATGCTCAGCGCCCCGTTGGCTTCAATGGGTGTTGGGATGTTGTAGAAACACGCAACCTACAGTATGAGTGCAGAGCAAACCAAACGAGGAGAATTAGGACGTGCACAACAGAAACAGAAATAGATGGGGTGAGTATACAGACCTGCACAGACACACAAGTGGATCCTGTGGCTTTAACACTATATTTGCCAGGAACGTTCTTCAGCGGCTTCTCCTGAAACAGCAGCTTGTTGTCTTGATTCACGTTAAAGCTATAAGAGTCTCCTCCTACAACTGAAGACTGTACGGTAACAGTGCTGGAGCCTTTCAAGCTGAACACTTGAGTAGCGTACACAGACAGGGCATGAAGAGCCACCACCGTGTCCTAAAAACAAGCACCAGATTAAAAACTCCAGTCTTAAAAGGCTACGTTCACACGGTTAGTCCAAATCCGATTGGAATCTTATCTAAAATTATAGACGTCCACACTGTGTATTGCAACGGTTATCTGGAATATCTGCATTGGTTTCTATGGCAATGACATTGCGTTGGTAGGAATACGCCAATACAAAAAAAAAGAAAAAAAATTCGGATCAGAGCGGTCAGACTGAAACGGATTTTCATGTAATTTTTTTGCCGTTCACACTTGCTAAATCGGATATGCACAAAAGTCGGATTTGGACTGACAGTCTGAACTTTGTCTAACAAACATGAGCGAAATCACTTAGGCTGATGCACCTGGGTGGAGGAAAAGCCTCCATAGGGATTCTGCTGGGCCACCAGCCAGTTGACAATACGGTTAGCATAGCCCAGAGCAGGCTTCGGCTTTACATTGAGAACCGCTAGCAGCACGTACGAGCTGATCTCCACCGCCAGAGTATCACCAGATGTCGTCTGAGACCAATGGAGCTTAGTGCCTTAGGATGAGACGCAGGGGATAAAGTGGATGCTAAAGAACCTGATGGGCCAACATCTCAAGAGGCTGGTAAAGCTCACCTTTAGAAATGGCATTGTTGTTCAAGGCAGTTAAAAGCTGTGATCGAGTGGTGGTCTCTCCAGCCAGACTGAAAGTGTAGGCCAGCAGAGCCATGGCGTAAGTGTTTCCCAGGTTCCCAACAACAGGCCTCAAGCACGACAGAGCTTTGGTAATGACAGGATTCTGAAAAATTAAAGCAAATATCAGAAACCCAGAACAAGGTCGTCTCCATGGAGCTCATACAACTACTGGAGATGTTTTTACCTTGACAGGGACGCCTAGTTCAAGCAACGATGAAACAATGTAGGCGGTCATGGTCACGCCATCACTAACTCCACCCTGAATCACACCAGCACATTTGATTTAGAAGAACGGTCTCACACCAAGTCTATTGGTTAGAGCGTATTTTAAGAAAAATGTAATGCACCTTCATGTCGTTGTGGTACAGAGTTCCCTTCTGCATGAAACAGCCATCTGAACCCTGCTTTCTGATCAACCAATCCTTTGCACTCTGCAGGACATGTGGATCAATGGAAATAAATTGCCTCGCTAGACCAAAGGACCTCAGGACAAAGGCGGTCAACCTGGCAGTGGAGTACAAACTGAACTTACAAACTGCTGGTGCCACAACAGATTATACACAACAGTAGAACAGTGTGAAACTCACCATGCATTCGATTCATCATACCCAAATGTGCTGTATGAACCATCGTTATATCTGTAGTTCAGTTGTCCTTGGTATCCTGAGTCAAAAGCCACATGTAAATTGGTCAGGAAGGGAGTTCCTGACTCAAAATGGGAAGAGCATTAAACCTCCTTGGAATTTTGTTCCCTACATATTTAGTGGATTTGTTCACCCGTACCACTCTGAAGGTAGCCTGTGGCAGTCTCTCGGATGGCTGCCGTTAGTTGCTCTGTGACTTCCAGGTACAGCAGGATGTAAATATTGGGAGCAAGAATTATCATATTCTGTTCTCCACAGCCAGATGGCAACTGTAACAACCCATCCAGATTCTTCAGCGCACAACCCATTATGTCCCCTACGAGAGGTCAAGCATAAACCCACATCAGAAACAAAGTTATTCTGCCAAACATCACCTGTCTGTTTCTACTCAATGAAATACTTTACCAAGAACTGAAACTGAGCATCTGGCTGATTCCTGAACCACGTTTTTTGGAAATGTCAGAGTCACGTCTTCAGAAAGAACTTTTCCTAGGGACAGAACAGAATGGATCAGCATTGAGCGCTAGGCTAATTCTTGACGAATGTGTTTGGGAATCATACCCCTAGTTTCACAAACACAGTTTAAGCCTAATCCCAGACTAAAATGCATGTTTGAGCCATTTTAACTGAAAGCAACTTGCACTGACATATCTTAAATTAAGTCAGTGCCATTGTTTTGTCCCAAGATGCACATCAGTAATGTCTTTTTTCTAAGGGATGTTTATAAATGTAACTGAAACATCCTAATAAATGTGAATTGAATTAATTTGACCAAGGCCTAGTTTAAGCCCTGTCTGTGAAACCGGGCCATTGAGTGCAAACAAACCTTTTGGACACAGTAACCAACTCTGGGTGTTTGTCTTTTCAAGTCCTTCGGGCTATGAAAGCAATAAAGCATCACATCAGTAAAGCAGCATGAGCTCCATGATCAAACTCCAGAAGACTGGTTAACACTCACCAGGACAAGTAGACTTCGAGAAACTACATCAATGCGTCCTCTCGTCGGCACGGTCACGACCTCAGTGCCACATCGAGTCCGCGACGGTTCAGCTGAAGCATTGACAGTCACATTGACAGCTCCTGAAGTGACAGACAGAAAGTGAGCAACACCTAATATACACTCGATTTAGAGATAGACAGTCCAAAACTGACCGAGAACAGAAGCTGAGAGAACCCATTTGAAGGTCTTTCTCTCATTGGCACAGAGACAGGACGAATACGGATCAGTAAACGGCTTAAGAGTGAAGGCCGTGGATGAAGCTGGAGTTACTTTAACCTGCCAATGAAACATCAGGGCACATGGAGCAAAGCAAATTAACTTTTCTATACAGATCCATTGTATAAAGGAAAATAAACAATGACACACCATGATGCACTTGGACAGAAAGTTGTAGACTGTGGCCTTCAGATTAAAAGACTCCCCATGGACAATGGAGTATGGCAGGGAGAGCTCCAGGAAGAAGGGCTGGAAGACTGTCAGGACAGCTGGAGGGGCCAGACCAAAACCTTTGGAGGACAGGCAAAACGCCTCCGTCTCCCATGTGGTGATGGTGTCAGGAACCTTGAGAGGAACTTTTATGGAGCCAGTGTCTCTGAAGGACAGCAGAAGAGAGAAATAATGAGAACTGGAGAAGTAAAAACTGTGGGCAAGTTGCTTTCGATGGAATAACACAAGATGCTTCACTAACCCCACTTGAGCAAGCTGCCAGAGCCATGTTTCTGGAAAGTAACTCCTGACAGTCACTTTAAAAGAGTGCTTGCCTCCAGCACTTTCTGCTTCTGGAGGAGCAGTAGCCAAGTTAACCACATCAGTTGTTTTAAAGGGTAAAGGAGCAGGTAAGGTCGCTGAAATAAAAGACAAGAAAAGGCTAGTTCTTGCTTTCTGCATGCACTTTAGTTCTGAAGCTACAAAGGATCTGAACCGCCCCTCGTTGCATTTATAAAAATAAGATTAAAAACATCCAATGCCATTACACAAAGAAAGAGGAATAACCTCCCATAACTCAAGGAAAGTTCACCACATCATGGAGAATGCGTTCATTTCATCGGCATATACCTACTCTCGGGGATGATGGGATGAAACTGCTGGCAAAGAAGGGGTTGTAAAGCGAGATTTGTTGCGATCTTTATCCCCACGCTCTGTCGGAGTAACAAGTCAAAACACAAGACAGATTTAAAGTCAATGACACAGTATTATTCAGTGACTAGATGGTAATGAATGGTTTTCTACCTTGAAGGCTGCATAGGCAATATCTATAGGAGCATCTCGACGGACTAATGGTGGAACACACACTGGTTGATCCTCAACGCTGAATGGGTAACCTGATAGCAATCTCACCGGAAGCAAGTCAAACACCTGAGACCATGAAACAATAGAGTTGGTATGTCACTTGTTTCTGGAAAATTCTTGAACTAAATAAATTTATGCTTGGTATGTTATGTCACAGAGTTTATAATGTGAGATGTTAAACGTCCATAAAAACTGCAATAATCATTAAAGCCACAACATAATAGCATAGGTTTTTCAAATTGATCCATCAGCATTACACTCAGATTCTAAAGCTGAACATGAATGTCAATAAAGTCTTTAAAATCAACATGGATACCATTTTAGGACTCAGACGTCTTCCTGGCTCCAAGATCCAGATGCTTTGATCTACAACGCTGAGACCACACAGGGATCCTGCTTGAGCAGAGACAGTCAAGAAATTTCCTTCACTAGGAACAGCCGTAGCAGGAGAGAAAAGGAGAGACACCTGGAACAAGGACCAACACATGCTGTATGACGCACTGTTCCCCATTTGAAGCCAAAAGAAGCTAGTGCACATCCTACCTGGTTTTGTAAACACGTTTCAGTGTCAAAAGACTCACTAACAGCAAGTACATTCTCACTGGGCAGAACGCAGTAGACCAGAATCTGCACCACTGGAGCCATATCGCCACTGACAGACAGCTTGAACGACATGGAGCCGCTCGTGACTGTATCACCAGCTACTGCTGTGACCTTCCAACCTCCATTGAGAACAATGACTCCTCTGGTCAAGACCTGACAGAAGACAAACAGGTGCTGGACAAACAGACCAGCAGTCATCGAAATCACTACAAAACTGATCTCCACTTACCATATAGATAATGTCAGCGCTGAAGCTACCAGCCTCTCCAACAAAAGAATATTTCACCGTCACTGGGAACGCAGCACCACATTTGAGTGGCTGCTCAAGATTCACAATAGTAAGTCCACTAACTGATGGAATATCGGGAGAAACAGGTTGGAGAAGCTGAACAACCCTCGTATCTATAGTGAAGTATGGCAATTTGTAACCATAAATAACTGTTGGAGTCGCACTTGCCTGGGGAACAACGAATGGAATAGTTTAGAGAGAGATAGAGATAGAGAGAGAGACTTCATTTCACAAAATACAAAGAGCAAATCGTACCAGCAGATATAGAGCAGCTTTAGGAAGTTTAGCAGTTTTGAGGGAGAACATGGCCAGTCCGTTCTGGTTTGTAGTTAGATTCAACAGCAGTTTGTTGGGCCAGCTGTTACTATTCAGGAGATACACAGTTTTGTTCGCAATTGGAGTTTCATCGAAACGAGACACTGAGATCTGTTGGGAAAGATTAGTTTAGGAAAGGGAACCAATGAGAAGGCTTCTACGACAATGGATGAACTTTTACTTGCCTTTGCATTAATCACTGATCCAGGTTCAAAAGTATCCGGGAGGTCCAAAAACGTGATCTTGCCGACTTCAAATGTAATGGACACGGTTGCATATTTTGACATAACCACATCTGGGGAAAAAGAAACATACGCACCGAATAATGTTTGTTTGTTTTTAACGCCATGCCAGCTTCCGTGGCCATTTTCATGGCAAGAAAAATGTATGGTAAAACTATGTCAGTGGTTTATAATTTATTTTTGCTATTTGCTATTAAACTACTTGTTAACTTTGTTAAAAACTTCTTCAAAAGGTTTCTCACTGGGTTAAAACCAGCACAATCTAATAAAACATGCTTCAATGATAAAGAGTTTTTGACTGAAAGAACATTTGAGATTTGATAGAAACTCCTTCCAACATTGGGGATGATTTCATGAAGTTTGGTCATCGTATATAAAGTCCATTCTGTTTGCCATTTGTTATTCATATAGAAATTTTAGATCCATATGAGGTAGTGCAAATTGACGTCTGCTGATAATGCCTCTTTTGGGGCAAAGTCTGCGTCCTCATTTCCTTTGATTCCACAGTGTCAAGGTACCAAACAAAACCAGATTAGCGTTTAGAAAGAATCATTACAAGTGCTGGGTGATCATTTTTAAAGGATGAGATTGCTTGGAGACATGACTTTGCATTTGTAATAAGAAAATCTGTTGCATAGACTTTATGTAGTCCAATGCCAAAATGATAGCTCAATTTTAACAGCCAAAGAAAATGCTATGTTTAGGGATGGATGATTACAAATGCAGATGAGCCTCAGATTTGTATCCATCAGTATATATAGGGATAATGTGATTACGCACCAAATAAACGAGTCAACTTCCTCCAGAAACATGCCATTGGTTCAGACCAGCCAATAGCTCACCTGTTCCCACCTCGGTGACGTTCACAGTAACAAAAAACAAATCTTGAAGACCTTTCTCAAATTTGGGGTTGAAAAACGCTGATGTATCTAAGGTAAGGGAGGCACAGCCCGTGGCATTCATCTGGTAGCAGAACAGAGATAGGCACATTTAAGTCAAGTCCAAGCAGAAGAAAAACCCTTAGCTGTAAGGCAGGACCCACACACCTTAGCGGTTTGATTCAGGCACGGAGGGGTCTCCACAGGAACCACAGAGTATGAAAAAGGATCACGGCATACTTCCACAAACGCTTGACCAAGCACAGGTTGGCCATATGTGTATCTGGGAAACATCACAAGAACCAAGATCAAGAACTGACCAACCACAAGACAAGAAAATAAAATGCGTCACTCACTTGGCACAAGCCTCAACTTTCAGTCCCACATCTGCAACGCTGTACGTCTGTGGTGTGTTTACGGTCACATCAAACTTGGGCAAAACTAAACCAGAAACAAAACGCTTTAGATCAAGTCCTCAGATCTGTGGTTACAGATCGTTCACAACGACTTACCATATTTTTTCACCTCAAAAACTTGGGAGACTGTTCCATCACCTATAAAAGCTCTCAAGGTGTACATCCCTATCTGAGCCTCTGGGTTTAACTTGTGAGAAAGTTGCAATATCCACTCCATTGAGGAGACGTTTGTCCACTGACCAATCCGGTTATTGTGATTGTCCTATTAAAACAATTAACAGCTTAGAGAAATACTGCAAACAAAGCAAAAGTGCAAAAAGCTGCTTCAGCTCCATTCAAAAGACTTGAACCGGTGCAAATTCTCACCTCCACCACCACCAGATTGTACTGTAAGACACAAAGACAGAATATTAGGCATTTAAAAACCACAAACACACTTATTCACCAAAGTCATTGAAAAGGAAAGAGCAAAATTGTGCACGTAAAAATAACCTGCATTAAATTTGCAAATTGTTCAGATTACTCAATATAGTGAAAGATCAGACCAGGCCTTACCATTTGATCAAGAGGCACAAGTTTGGCATCCATGGTGACGACTCTAAAATTCACTACAAAGACAGCAATAAACGCTCACATTAGTTGCATATTGCACTTGAAGGCGATCAGAACTTGTAGCATAATGGACTTTCTACACCTCTAATATTCAACCAAGGGTCATTCACAGCTCACCCGTTTGTCCTGGATTGTAGATGGGTTTGTCTGTTTGGATGAAGGTCAAAGGCAGGTATCGTCTGAACATGACTTTCCTCTCTTCAGTCGCTCTGAAGACCCTCCCTTGAACTTCCACCTTCAGCTTCTGCACCGATTCTCTATCTACTCGAGGAGCCTTCAGAGAAACTCAGTTAACACATGTACAACAGACCAGACGAAAAAGCCACATGCGTCTGATGACAGACCTGGAAACTAAAGCAGCGGTGAAACGGCTTCGAAAAAACCTGCTGCAAAAGTTGAGTTGTCCTGGTTGTGTCATCAAGCAGAGAAACGGTCATTGTGAGACTCTCTTGGGATTTCAGAAGAGTTATGCATAGTTTGGCGTCTGATTCAGACTCAATCACTGCAGGGAACATCACCATGAATAACCTGTGTAGACATCATGAAGTTTAGGTTCAGAAACCATAAGGAATCAGGGCAGAACATGTACAAGTTGGTTGAACATTGACAGAAAATGGCTGCCACAGGGTTGCACATCAAAATAGCCCAAAGTGAGTGGGTTGGAGGGGGCAGGTGGGTGGTGTGTTGGAGGAAACAAACACTGAGGAACAAGAAACTCCAACAGCAAAAAAAAAAAAAAAAATCACTTCAATATTTTGTTTTTTCAAAGTGTCAATGTTAATGAAGTGTTAACCTTAAAGTCCCCCTTTGGTGAAATTCAAGCTTTTAAATGTTGTGTCTATGTGATGTTTTTTAATATGCTTTTTATAGGAGTTTCTTTGAAATCGATGGGGTTTCTGACGTCACAAACTACCTTGTAACCAATCAGGTCAACGTGTGATTGTCAACGAGGATCTCTGGGCTGGTGTGAGTGGGTGGAGGTGGGGCTAATTAGCATATTCATAGATTCGCGTATACTAAATGAGGCAAAGGTGTAGAGTTACATTCAAGCTATTTTAAGGCATGGAAAAAAACATGTGTAGGCTATATGTATTTTTGGTGATCAAAGATGACTTTTAAGGGATACAATTATTGACTACAGGGGGACTTTAAGTGCTAATGAACAGCAGTTTGGTGGGTCCTATTCATCCTTTGACCACTAGGTGGCCACAAAGTACAACGTGATTAATAAACTTTTACCATATGGTCAAAGCTTTAGTGCTTCATTTTGCCATCTTTAAAACTGCATCAGCATAGATTAGGCCCCTTCTGTTCACCTCAAAGCCCATATACTTACGGCCTTTTCTGTCCATCAACAGCAAAGAGGAAAAGGGCTAAAATGAGCCCTTTCCAAACACAAATCTCCCTCACAGCCATGAAGAGCAATCATCCAAGACTAGACAGAAATCGAGCGTCTCTTTAAAAAAAAAAACCCTGCAACTTCTGTTAAGATCCACGCCGTCTGACTACTCTACAGCGTCTCTCAATCCGCTGCACTGATGCCAGCGTTATTGAAACGCTCTTAATAATTCAGAACAGGTTGATTTAACACTATCTTCAGGCAATCGGAAGGTCTTTAGGGCGGAGCACCGGTAATTAATCACAGGTTTGTCAACTCTCACGCATTTGGCGTGAAACAGAAACACACACTTTTACTCTGCACAAAATCTCGCGCCAAATACGAGACTCTACCACGAGGATGGGAAACATCGGTTCTGGAGCTCTCCTGCCTCTCCAACCCTAATCAAACACCTGAGCAAGCGGATCAATGTCTTCAGGATTAATAAGGCAGGTGAGTTTTACTTTTGATTTTTTTTTTAAATCAGGGTCGGTGCCAAACTGCACTGTGCACTCGCGAATATCTCAGTGCTCCATCACTCTGAACGATTTATTAGAGGGGCGAAATTTGATAGGCCTATCTGATGAAATCTGTGATGCATGTTTGAAGTGAAATTCCTGGATTGTATATTTGGCCATTAATACACATCAACACCTGTACACGTGTTTTGTGTGACCATCTTTGTTTCTTTAAAGTGGATATGAAGTTAAATGTCTGTAAATGCAGCTTTTGTTTGGCTGCACTATTGTTAGGTGATAAGTGTGGTATCAAATTGACAATCTACTGTTATTCTTAGAAAATGTGAAATAAACATGGATTTTTTAAATCACGTGAGACTGTACAAAATGTTAGAAAACAAAAAATAAAATCGAAGGCCCGGTGTCCATTCTTCGCACCTCGCTTAATAAATCTGAGAGGATTTGACAGATGCCGGATCCTCTAATCGTGATAACTGATCTCTGGATAATTTGGTTCTTCAAACGAATTTGTAGATTTGATTAAAATATCTGGAAAAGTTGTCTGAAATTACTGCGTGTTCTTTAAAGCGCGACTCGAGTCCGATCTTTCATCCACCTATTTTTATGCACATTTTGGAATAATCGCAATAAAATGCGCTTAAATTAAAAAAAATGTGCATAAAAACGAATGCGCTCAAATGAGTCGGATACATTTGTTTTATCTGATAAGAAAACATGAGCATAAACTACGATGGAAACACATTTACCGAATAAATTCCATGTGCATTAAAAAAAAAGTTACTTTGACATGGGACTGCATAACTGGACTAATGCATCTGAAATGCTGTTTGGGTTGTTCTGAAATGCCTGAGAAAAGTCTGTCATCAAAGTGGTTCAGTATAATTCCCTCCCAGAACTGTCTGTCTTTACACGACTGAAAGCAAGTTAATATTTTTTGCGTTTTGTCTGTATGCTCTGAGAAGTAATATATTACAGTATATGAACATTTATAGTGGCTTCTCCTACTGCAGTAACTTTCAATTTTCTTAGTGATATTTTACACCAGTTTATCAGGAAGTGAAGATTTTGTTCTCTTCGATTGACTGGATGGAAAATGTTTTATGCGATATTCCAATTTTGTGCATAAGTTAAATTCGTAACTTTGAATGGAAACAAAGTGCCCATTTCTGTTCCACTTTTTGGACAGGATGGTCAGAAATGAGAAACCAGAGGTCAGAGGAGAACGGCCAGACTGATTCAGCTGGTAGAATGTCAACAGTAACTCAAACACTCGTCTCAAGCGAAGTCTCTGAACACGTCCAACCTTGAAGCAGAAGAGCTCCAGCAGCAGAAGAAACACACCGGTGTCGCTCCTGTCAGCTGAGAACAGAAAACTGAGGCTATAATTCACACAGACTCACTAAAACTGGACTGTAGAAGATTGGAGAAACGTTGCCTGGTCTGATGAGTCTGGATTTCTGCTGACATTCAGATGTTCTGGTCAGAATTGGGTGAAAACAACATGAAAGCATGGATGATCCTGTCTTGTATCAGCGGTTCAGGTGCTGATGCTGTAATGGGTGTTTCTTCACACACTTCGGGACTCTTAGTACCAACTGAGTTTAAATGCCGCCGACCTGAGTATTGTTGCTGATCATGTCCATCCACAGTCACCAGATCTCAGTCCAGTAGAGCAGCTTTGAGATGTGGAGGAACGAGAGATTCACATTATGGATGTTCAGCTGACAAATCTGCAGAAACTGTGTGATGTGATCATGACAATATGGAGCAAAATCTCTGACGAATGTTTTCAGCACCTTGTTGAATCTCTGACATGAAGAATTAAGGCAGTTCTGAAGACAAAAGAGTCCAAACCCTGTACTAGCAAGTGTTCCTAATAAAGTGGCCGGTGAGAGTGTGTATATCGAATCCCGTTTGGGATAGTGTAGCCTCCGTGTATTGAACTATATATATTGCTTTAGTTTGGAGTTGAATGTGTATATAAATAGTTTTAAGAGTGTAAGTTGAAAGCCTCAGCGTAGTTACCCGTGCTTTGCTCTCTGGAGGACACATATCTTTCTGCCCCAGTTTCTAACCCGTTTCTCCAGTAAACACCTCTCTGTCCTGTCCTGTCCTCTACTGCGCTGCTGCAAAGCGCTTTAGAGTGAAGTGGGCCATCACAAAAGCACGCCACTCCCAGATTAATAATTAATAAACACTGTGTGTGTTGGAATATTCTGCATCATTATCACTATAACACTAGAGACACTGAATATCAGCTTGTGCTTCTGTATGACAATGTGTCAATGTGTAAACTGTCAAATCCAGTTTTACCCTGTGATGAAAACATGGAAATCTGGTGGGCAGATGACATAATATAATAAATGATATAGAATAAATACATTTCATCTATATATATATATATATATATATATATATATTAGTACACTGAGTAGGCTTGTAGTGCCAATTTTGACACTGAAAATAGACAGATAGATAGATAGATAGACGGATGGATGGATGGATGGATAGACAGACAGACAGACAGAATGGATGGATAAATGGACATAGACAGATAGACGGATGGATGGATGGATGGATAGACAGACAGACAGACAGGGGATGGATGGATAGATGGATGGATAGATGGATGGATGGATAGACATAGATAGATAGACGGATGGATGGATAGATAGATAGACAGACAGACAGACAGACAGACAGACAGGGGATGGATGTATAGATGGATGGATAGACATAGATAGACAGATAGATAGACAGACAAATAGATAGATAGACAGATGGAGGGATGGATAGATAGATAGACAGACAAATAGATAGATAGACAGATGGAGGGATGGATAGATAGACAGACAGACAGACAGACAGACAGACAGACAGACAGGGGATGGATGGATGGATAGACATAGACAGACAGACAGACAGACAGGGGATGGATGGATGGATAGACATAGACAGACAGACAGATGGATGGATAGACATAGATAGGCAGGCAGACAGACAGACGGACAGACAGGGGATGGATGGATGGATAGATAGACAGACAGACAGACAGGGGATGGATGGATGGATGGATAGAAAGAGCTGAAATCTCTGTGAAGTCTCGTTTGTTCGTGCTTAGTCACGTGGTAAACAGTTTCGCTAGTGAGGCGTGGCCTAAGGCAGCTCGCGCTATTTATACAGTGTGTTTTGTAGCACTTATTAGAAAGAAGCAGTCAAGCAACAGGAGGTGACAGTAACTGTAAGTGCTTTGTATCCTTTTCTCATTTGATTTAAGTGCAGTTGTAGTTACTAGGAAACCGTGTTTGTTTACTGTGCTCACGAGCTGAAATCTCTGTGAAGTCTCGTTTGTTCGCGTTTAGTCACGTGGTAGACAGTTTCGCTAGTGAGGCGTCTCTAGCTGTATTCAATAACGACATTTCAGGTGAGAATAAAGCAAGTAGTATACCGTGGTATAGGACAAAGCTGCCCTCGTGTGAAGACCAAAGAGTGTAAAGACCAGCGAGGACACCGACAAGGAACTTGAGTATTATTTCTTGTTGTTTCCTTTCTCTGCTACAAAACTTTTCTTCCCATCTTTCTGTTTGTGAGCTCTCTTATACTATGTGTTTTCAAATCCCTATTACTAACACGCGTAAATCAAATGTCACATGTAGAAGGCAGCACAATCCTAGCAACCTGCGTACCTAGTACTTTATTCTCTTTTCCCATCCGGTCTCTGGAATTGCCAGTCCGCTGTAGACAAAGCTGATTTCATTACATCTCTTTCTAGTCTTTCAAGTTTCAGCCTAATGGCCCAGACCTGGATCAGACCAGAGGACACTGCAACACCCGCTGCCCTCTCCACTAACTTCACTTTCTCACACACCCCTCGTCTGACCGGACGGGGTGGAGGTACTGGTCTTCTCATCTCAAACGATTGGAAATTTTATCCTTTACCACCTTTGTGTGACAACAGCTCATTTGAATCGCATTCAATTACCATCACTAGGCCTATTAAAATCCATTTTGTAGTTGTATATCGTCCACCAGATCAACTTGGCAGTTTCTTGAGGAGCTTGTTGTGCTACTCTCATCCTTCCCTGAGGCTGGTGGTACTCTCGTAGTTCTTGAAGACTTCAACATCCACCTAGAAAAGCCTCAGTCTGCTGATTTCCACACTCTGCTTGCCTCATTCGACCTCAAACGAGTATCTCACAAATCAGGTAACCAATTAGACCTTATTTACACACGCTACTGCTCCACTGACCATACACTGGTCACTCCGCTGCACACCTCAGATCACTTCCTCCTCACTCTCAACCTGCCTCAGGACACAACACACACTCCTCCACAAGTCACCTCTCGGTGAACCCTACGCTCACTCTCACTCTCTCGCCTATCCTCATTGGTCTCATCCACACTTCCTCCACCTGATCAGCTCTCAGCATTAGATACTAACAGTGCAACTGTTAGGCTCCCTTTTACCTAAACTCATTACTTCAAACTTAAGTGCCATCCAGAAACTTGTGCTCTGCAAGTGAACGCAGTCATGTGGTGCCATCTCAAAAAGGCACTAAATCTCTGAGTCCGTGACCATTTTCAAGAAATGGCTGAAGATGCAT